GGGGCAGCGCGGGCAGCGCTCTGCCGGGGGACGGCCTTGCGCCTCCTGAGCCCGGCCTTGCGCCTCCTAGGTATTCCCGCCCAGTGCCGGTGCCTCAGCGAGCAGTGAAGGAGATGCAGAACGACGCCGGGGAGTTTGTGGACCTCTATGTCCCTCGGAAATGGTGAGTGGGTCCCCTCGGCGGCGGGGGGGTGACGGCTGTACCCCGAGGGGCCGGGCCCTGGGCAGGGAACCCGCCTGAGGCCCATACAGCCTGGGCAAAAGAAGGGTGTTTGTAGTAGTGAATATCTGGAGGGCGGGGGGACTGTTTTCTACCCGTTTCAGTATTTTTAAGTGTCTCACGTGGAATATGCGAAGCAAAGACTGAAGTTGAGGAGAATCTGCCAGGCTTCCAGGGGCAGGGACAGCTGACGTGTGGCTCAGTTCAGGAGTAAACGCGCCTCTGTCCACCTCTGTGCCACACGCTCCCACGGTGAACCTCTTAAACACTCTTCTCGTGCCTCGATAGCACACCTTGAGTAAAAGTTGGAGATTGTAGTACATGGGCAGTGAGAAGCTTTTTGTAAATGTGCATGTTAAAAATAAAAATCACTAAAAATAAATTATCTGCACGCATTTTATTAGGGGTAAATAATGCTTTTTTACAACCTGTGATTTCTGTGGGTTTGCAGCCTGAGTGGTTTTTGACAGCTGTAATGGCTCCCAGTGAAAAAAGGCATAGAAATTACGTTCTTATGAATTACCTTCATTGCTGCATTTTTTGCATATTATGAAAGAAAACCTTTGTATTCTGTCTGTTTTGAAGGGCTGTGCTGCTGTGTATGCTGTATAGGGGTGAACTGGGCATATAAAAACCAAAATGAAAGGATAGTTGGCAACTTAGCATGATGCTACCAGGTTGAAAGTCTCCTTTAATTGTACTTAAAACTATATTTTAATTTTCTGAGCAGTGAAACGTTAAACTGTTACTGCCTAAACTTCATGTGCAGCTTTAATTTGCATGTAGGTTTGGCTTCAGTAGTTTTTTTCATTGTCACTGTCTTATTTCCTTTTGTTTAAATATATCTTGTTACTTTATTCCTTAGCTCTGCCAGCAACCGAATAATTGGTGCTAAGGATCATGCTTCTATTCAGATAAATATTTCTGAGGTAAGTTTTGTAACACAAGCCGCAGCACTAAACCTTTAAACTTTTGATAGAAGTTAAAAAATATAACAGCTTGTGATAAATCTCCAAATAATTCAGTAGAGACCATACAAGTGTAGAGCTTGAGAGCTTTCACGCATACGAATATATTACTATGTCACCCCTGGTTATTTTTCAGCCTATTGGAAAATACTCATCAGAGGGAATTTCATAAAACTCTGTACAGTCTGTTCCAGTGCTTACCTGTTTGACTCAGTACAACTTCTTAATTCTAGATGTTTAGAGTTACAAGTTAGGGCTTTCCTTGTCCTGTCCTGAAGAAAACAAGGGGAAGAAATGCTTCTGGGAAATTCTTATCCCTTCTACCTTCACCTGTCTGTCAGAAAGAACTGTTCTTCAGTCTGTCCTTGTGCACCCTTTCTTTTTTAGTTTTTTTTTTATTCTTGTTGATCTTCTCTGTGTTTTTTTTCTAGTTTGTCCAAACTTTAAGAAAGATGGTTTCCAGAGCAGAACCTATTTCCGTTCTACTCTGCTTAACTAGATTGCAATCTTGTGTGTTTTGTTTGAATCATTTCTGTTAGTACTTGACACTGCTGCTTTTGATAGGTGACTAATGAGATTGTTCATGTTTTTGTGCACCGTTATCATTCCATTAACTCGGTGCTGGAGGTGTTATATGCTTAGAATTTTTCCTGAGGCATGCTGGTTGTTTGTATTGACTTGATATTGCACATTTAGTTTTCTTTCTGTACCATAAGGATACATTCCTATATTTTTAAACAACTCAGTCCCTTGTGTTATCTGTCTGACTTAAGAAATAATTTTTAAAAATTCTCTGTTTGCAATTTCCTGTAAATATTAAAGCAAATACTTTCCTTATTCACCATGCTTCATTCCTTCCGTGATCCCTATTTCTTGTTTTCTAAGGGTCGGAGATTAGCAGAACTTGAAAACAATCCCACGTGGTGTTACAGGGTTCACTACACTGTTCAATTTCATGATTTATATTGTTTAGTCTTTTCCTGTCAAATTTCTCAGCAGCTGGAGGAAGTGAGACAATTTGTGTGTCTCAACTTGGGCAGTTTTTTACTTGCGTAACAAGACTGTCCCCTTTCCCCTTTCACTTCAATTTTCCAAAATACTGACCTTAATTAAAAGAAATGTAGAAAAAATAGCTAAGGCAGTAAAATCCACAAGTAAACATTGCATCAAACTTTCCCATTTTTTCAGAACTCAAATATTTTCTTTTAGTACTATTTTGTATTGTGTTCTTGCTATGCTGTGTGATCCATTAAATTGTATAGCTGCTCTATGTAATTACCTATAAATTTGCTGGGAAAAGATACTCTATAGTTGTCTTTACAAGTTCAGTATTTGCATTGTGTTTTTTTAGTTTGCAGAAAAATATTTGCAGTATTTAACAAGTAATTTTTATCTTTGAGTGCTTGGCAAGTGTGATATAAATCACATAAGGATCTGTATGGAGTAACTTGCTTGTCATTACAGGTCGACAAGGTAACAGGCAGAGTAAATGGCCAGTTCAAAACGTATGCCATATGTGGAGCAATTCGTAGAATGGTAGGTATTTTCTTGACCTACCAAATGATTGTGCTTCCTTTTACATAGATTGGTAATTTTTTAGTTTTATATTTGTCCCTGAAAACACAATGTGCCTTCAGCTCACTCTAGAGGAAGAGCTTTTGAGGGGCTGATGAAGACAGAGGGAAGACATGATTAAATCCACTTGCAGAAATCTGTTTCTTCTTCTCCCCCCCC